AATTTAAATGAACATTGATGTTGTGATCTTACCGGGAAAAGATGTGCTTCTGACATCCAATATTTAAGACAAAATAAGCATTTTACCATTGGTATACGAATCGTGTAGCATAATGTGTTTCAGTGCCATTTTTTAACAAGGGACTCGAAGAACGAGGCTAGACATATTCCTCAAGTCATGTCAAACGGTGACGCCATTTTCTTACCTGAAGAGCATGCGAAATAAATACTGTCCGGTGTAAATTAGAATAACCAGACACTAGAGATTGCCATTCGATTGAGACTTCTGGCGTATTTTGCGGAACATAACTGATTTGAAATTAGAGTAAAAACGGAAACGATTGAATATAAATCAATTTATATACATTCATATTACATTATTATATGCGCTGCGACCCATTTGTGTTAATTTCTAGATCCCAAATATTTGCGATTTAGCTCCTTTACACTATATTACACGAAATGTAATGTATATCTAAACTGGTTGCTGATGTATTAATGCGGGCTTGGAAAAAGTCTGAACAGATAAAAATTATATTAATTAAAATACAATTTCTAAATATGGTTCTTTATAATACTTGGAAAGGTAGATTGCGGTCGATAGGGCACGGGCCCTATTTATTTCTGGCGTTGTGTAACCATATATTCAGGAGTTTACTACTATATTCTTTCCGTAAACCCTGTGAACACAATAGAAGCTACAGCTTTGGGCGGATTGTTTTTCATGTGATGTAAAGCATTTGGATCATGAGAAGACGCAGGCTATCGATTTCAAGAGTTAACAGATTTTTTTTTCTTCAGATTTGGCGTGCAGCATTGGGGTCACCATAGGACTAACTCGGCCGATTTTCAGCATTATGCGACTGCGTGCCCGTTTCGGAGTTATGTCCTATTTACCAAACATTTTGGTAACGCAATAGGCTACTTTTTTAAAATAATAAAAAAAATTATGGTACTTTCTATTCCGCCCCGCGAAACATGAAACATCTGAGAGGGCGAACCCTATGAATTTCAATTTTGGTGTGACGCATTGGGATTTTATTTTTAGCATTTTAGAACTTTTTATTTCAAAATAATCAAAAATATATTTATGTCCGAAATAGTTTGTTAACGGCTCGTGTAGGCTACTGATTTTAAAATGGTCACTGTGTCTTAAATATCGGATATTGAGATCAGCAATATTGCTTTAAATGAACCAATATTGCATTCAAATTCGTTTGTTTAATTTCGAATATTATGGACAATATTATGTTACTGTGTGAACCATGGTAAATTATAAACGGATTTCTTCGATTGTGAACAAACTACTGAATAATTGTTATTAAAAACTTGCCTATGTATTTGAAATCACCTCCGGTTGAATAAAATCCATTGCACAATTAAATATCTAAACAAAAACAGAAGTTCTCTCTTGAAAAGTCAATGTTTTTGCTTGTATTTTCGACAGTGTCCATCACAACATTACACGTGTCACGTCATGAGCTAAACCATCATAATATGTTGAAGGGGTAAAGGTTGAATCACGTGTGTTGTAATCACAACAGCGCACGACCGTTTCGATTTTTTGAGTTTGGGCAACACAATAGCAACTGAGACAAAGACATTGATTTGGAAACAATTGATTGTCAGTCTACTAAATTTTATTCACAATGAATATATCACCAATTATACGAATACTCGTAAATATAATATTGTTTTTCACCCCTGTATATATAATTGTATATTGGATACATTGCCTTGTGAATTTCAAAACAAAGCCGGGAATTTACAAAATAATTGTGTTACCGATCACGTACGATTATAAATTTTTCTAAACAGTTTTTTGCACACCGGAAATAATATTCAGAGCGAAATAGAAAGAAACTGAACTATCTGCCGATAATTAATCCGGTGTGCGGTATGATTAATTGTTGGTAATAATTTTTGGTATTTATATATAAAAAAAAATAACGTTATAGGCCTATACCTATTCAATCAATGATTCAATGGCCTCGGCTGAGGTTAATTGACAGGACTGCTTAAAGGAGCTAAATCGCTAATATTTTGGGCCTAGAAATTGGCACAAATGGGTCGCAACACATATAATAATGTAATATGAATTTATATAAACTGTTTTACATTTAATCGTTTCCGTTTTACTGTGAATTGTCATCAGTTATGTTCGGCGAAATACGCCAGAAGTCTCAAGCGTCTGGTTATTCCAGTCAACACCGATAGTATATATTGCGCATGCTCTCCAAATAAGAATATGCCATCACCGTTTGACATGCCTTGTGGAATATGTCTAGCCTCATTCTTTGAGCACCTTGTTACAAATGGCGCTGAAACGCATTATGGTACACGATTCGTGTACCAATGGTAAAATGTCCATTCTGTCTTAAATATTGGATATCAGAAGTCCATCTTTTCCAGGTAAGACCACAACACCAATGCTGATTTAAATTGCAAAAAAAATTCGTGTTTTCAATGTCGAAGATTTTGGATGATATTGAGTTACGGACTTAGCTACTTTAAGTCCATCAGGAAATATTAAAAATATTCAAGGGTGAAATTAATTCAAGGTCAGTAAAACAAATATAGTTCAAAAGAAATAATCCCACCAAACTCTCTAACCAAATAATTATAATACAAGAGGGAAACAAAATACCGGACTACGGGCGTATTTATGTTTTTAAACGCCCAAACTCATTACTGGATTCCGAGAGGAATAGCTTATTCATACACAACCGTTAGGACAGACAAGCCTTGCTTTGACCCCCCTATACGAAATGATATATCTCGATAAGTGACGTAATTAGCCTTCATTTTGGTTATTTCTCGGTGTCAAACTTTGTGATGAATTCAATTTTACAAGAGAGAACTTTTTTATTTGCTAGGACATATAGTTGTACAATGGATTTTATATAACCGGAGGTAATTTCAAACACACAGGTAAGTTTATAATAACCAAAGTATAGTAGTTTGTTCATAATCGAAGAAATCCGTTTATTATTTACCACGGTTCACACAGTAGAGGTTTAGCTCCTTTAAGTGATAATGAAAGATTAAAAAACGACAGAAAAATCGCAGCCTGATGAAAATTATCCCGACATTCACGCAGAACATTCATAGCTATGAATCAACAATACATTAACTATATACAAAGTTGGAAGTTTCTTCCGAACTTTTATGCCTGCGAAAATCAATTATTATTTCATTAACATCAATAAATCGCAGTCTTTTTTCTAGCCTTTTTTTTTTTTTAGAAATATGAGTTTGTCTCTTAGTCTTAATCCTATGGATTTAATTTTTTTAATCAGAATCGATTATTGATCTAATGCGAGTTTATATATTATTTATACAATCGCCATGGTTACATTTTTGTCTATGTGCATAGAACTGCATGGCTTACTCATATTTGTGATAGGCATTATATTATACTAATAGAGGGATACTATAGATTAGAAAAATAAACGTAACCATGTCTGGGCCGCCGTCCACGACCTCTGATTGGACAACGTAATTGTTCACGTGTAAACAGGGGTAAAAAATTTAAAAGTTCGGGAATGTCAGACCAATCTAGCAACGGCTAGATGTTTTAAACCTTGAGGTCGTTGCTTTAGGAACATGCAGTTTTCCATACTATGGTATTTATTTAATATATGTCATACCAGATACCTCAGCCCCATTAATTGCTGTATTAAAATAATAAACCCACTCGATGGTTTAATCGGATAGAATTGCTAACATAAACAAACTAATGGCAAACCAATGGTTTGAATAACATTGTAACTGTCAAGTACCAGTGCAGGATCACTGAAAGGATTTGTAACATGCAATCGTTTAGCGCGGGAGCGGTAGAATAATATGTTACTTTTTTTTTTACTAGAAACTGGCACTGATTGCATATTATGATACTTGTTAAAGTAAACCTTCAGCTAAGCTAGTGCTGATTTTTGAATAATGGTTTGTTGGTAAGCATTTACCGACACCAGAAGGCCGAAATCACTAGAAACGTGGGCACAGATGGTAAAACCGGTAAAGACAGCAACGTGTCTTTCCATGGAGACAATTGTATGCGCTGTGCAGATCTTGGTGACTTTGGGGCTGATTTCTAAGCAGTCAGACAGGGTGTAATTAGCGGAGAACAGTGTCCGCGGGATCCTCATAGGAGCATAAGTGCGGGATGTTGCCGTGTGACGTGCTTGTCTGGTCCAGATTTTTGATGAAAACCTTGTTAGCTGGAAAAGATGAGCAGAGCTCGGGTGGCAGTGTGATGGCATCCTCAATTACCGAAATCGCGAGTTCTCGATGTTATCATTGGCATATTGTTTGATTTTCCACAGAACTGCGGAAGTTGTAATTACCCCAGCTCTGGCACATTTTAAAACCCATGTCTGCACCATTTTCAATATGCCCATTTTGTCGAATTAATTTTGCTGCTAGGATCTGTTGTTCATTTACACGATTGTCAAAAGGCCATTTTCACGATTTATTGTCATTCACGATTTGTAATTTTTAATTCACAATGTGATATGGTTTCATTGTGCGATTAAAACTATATTAAACTAAAATATACTTAACCATTATACACTGAAATTGATGATTGGACTAATTGAATATTTTGATAAGACAGTTTTAAAAGTTCAAAATTCGAATAATATCAGTGGTTTACAAATTTTGGTGTGTAGCAGATGTATGAAACATTATTCTGTTAGCTAATGGCGGCACCATGATGATCGGTGATTTTTTTGGTTTTGAGGGACACTTTTAGTTTTAGGTATACTGTAGTAACCTGACCATATGTAGAGTTGGTAAAGCCTTAAAAGTGATAATTTGAATAGCCCCTAAACCCAGCGAGTGAGCAACTTTAGAATTTCCTTTCTGATTATCAACCATCATGGTGCCTTTATCGGGCATAGTTGCAATTTTGTCTGCAAGTTTGGAAAGAATGGCCTGTTAGTTCTCCGACTTACTTTTTTAGATGCAAAACCAGTTTATAGATGCTACTTTTCTTTGCAGGTAATTGTCCTCCCACTTATACCTTCATACCGACAGACGGAAGATGCATTTTTGTATCGACTACACCAAAGAATTTCGACGATGCTATAACGCAATGCGCGACCGATGGAGGCACTTTAACATTTGTAGAAACTGAAGTCGACAGAAAATTTATAAAAGATAACTTTGGTAAGTAAAAGAGATCTCAATCCCACAAGAACTTGATCAACATATTCTATAGCTCCCAGGTATCTTCTCCACCTTAGCATCAAAAAACAACATTTTTATACACAAAGAGCCCCGGTTCGAATCTTAAAATCTTAAAGTGTTTTTCGGAGGGGGGTTGGGGAGGGTTTAGTGTCGTGATTAAATTGCGCGAACCATGTTCATGATTTTGAAAGAAAACAACCGAATCCGTTATTAGGCCTGCACATATCAGCGATCATTTTGCCCGACAGCTGCGACATACTAATCATTATAATGAAAGCTTGGCGCCCACTATGATGATTCTCAACTCTGATTTCTAGGCACCACCGTTTCGTGGGCAGTTGTATGTTTTGAAGGAATGATCCGGGCCGCCTTCGTGGTAATATGGGGATACTTAAATTAATTAAATGATCACAAGTTAATGTACAAATCGGCGTATATATTCTACGTAGCATAACAGTGGTTTCATCAATGAGAAATCCATAACAGGAAGCATGATTAAGACTAGTAATTGGGAATTCTTACCCCGTGCTCATTTTTGTTGACTTTTGGTCTAAAATCCAAGAATGTCCATTTTCTGTAAGTTTTTTGTGAATATTCATGACCTTTAGGAGGTCCTGCGGCAGCCAAACATGCGGATATAACCGCTGCTACGTTATCATTCGAAACGTTCGGATTTTTAAGTTCCATGACCAAATTATGGCATTCTGCTGTGTATCTTTGATTTTCGACATCATACAAAATTACTTCGTTCGTCTTAAAAGGTTTGGATTTGAAACCATTTTTTTTTACCTGCAGCCTATTGTTTTTTTATACACCCACTTTTTCATGTGGACGTATTATGCCGTCGCCCCTGTTTGTCCGTCCGTCCACAATTTGTTTGTGGACAGTCTACAGGTCACAATTTTTACCCGATTTCAACGAAACTTGAAATATAGGTTCATCTCCCCCAGATCTCGGTTCCTTTCGATATTGGCGTGTATCAGACCATAACTTCATGGATTATGACCCCTGGTTGTACGAAAAGTCGCGTTTTTAGCTTGTGGACACTCTAAAGGTCACAATTTTGATCCGATTTTGATGAAACTTAAAATGCATGTTTATAACCCAAAGATCTTGTTTCCTTTTTTTTTTTACCAGTCTATTGTTTTTTTATACGCCCACTTTTGCATGTGGACGTATTATGCCGTCGCCCCTGTTCGTCCGTCCGTCCACAATTTGTTTGTGGACAGTCTACAGGTCACAATTTTTATCCGATTTCAACGAAACTTGAAATATAGGTTCATCTCCCCCAAATCTCGGTTCCTTTCGATATTGGCGTGTATCGGACCATAACTTCATGGATTATGACCCCTGGTTGTACGAAAAGTCGCGTTTTTAGCTTGTGGACACTCTAAAGTTCACAATTTTGATCCAATTTTGATGAAACTTGAAATGCATGTTTATAACCCAAAGATCTTGTTTTCTTTCAATATTGGCGCATATCGGATCGCAACTTCATGAATTATGGCCCCTGATTGGACCATAATTGGCTTGTGGTCCCTCCAGAGGTAACAATTTTTATTCGATTTAAAAAACCGTTTTATTATATACTCGTTACACCATAATGAAGGTTAAGTTCGAATTTCGTGAAAATCGGACCAAAACTGACGGACAAAATGGCCGCCGCTTGTACGCGAATAGTGTAAAAAAAATATGATATATCAAGGTTGTAAACCCTGTAGAGGTCACAATTTTAATCCGATTTTGATAAAACTTGAAATGCATGTTTAAAACCCAAAGATCTTGCGTATATCGAATCGTAACTTCCTGAATTATGGCTCCTGATTGTACGAATAATCACTTTTTGATTATATCACCGTTACGCCGTAATGAAGGTTGAGTCTGAATTTCATGAAAATCGGACCAAAACTGCCGGACAAAATGGCCGCCGCATGTACGCGAATAGTGTAACCAGAGGCTGCCAGGCAGGATACGCCCACATTTTGCAAGAGATGGATAGAGAACAAGCTAAAAACTAACGGGATTTTTTGTACAATCAGGAGCAAAAATCCAGAAAGTTATGGTCTGAAATGCACGAATATCAAAAGGGACTGAGATCTTTGGGGGATAAAGATATGTTTTAAGTTTCATCAGAATCGGATAAAAATTGTGACCTCTAGAGGGTCCACAACCTTCGTATTGCATACTTTTAAACAATTTGCGTACAAAGAGGGGCCATTTTGTTGGGCAGTTTCATTTCGATTTTCCCAAAATTCGAATTCAACCTTTATTATGGTGGAATGATGAAATATTTAAACGGTTTTTAAAATCGGAAAAAAATATTGTGACCTTAGAGAATCCGCCAGCTAAAAATGCCATTTTTCGAACAATCAGGGGCCATAATCCAGGAAGTTAAGTTCGGGTATCCGCGATTATCAAATGGATCCAAGATCTTAGATATATTTTTTTTAAATCAGATAAAAAATCCGATATGCGCGGATAGTAAAAAAAACAAGATCTTTGGGTAATAAACTTACATTTCAAGTTTCATCAAAATCAGAAGGAAATTGTGACCTCCAGAGGGTCCAAAACATTGATATACCATATTTTTACGCTAATTGTGTACGAGGGGTGGCCATTTTGTCCGGCAGTTTTGGCCCGATTTAAACGAAATTCGAACTCAACCAAAATTACGGTGTAACAGTGATATATTTGAACGTTTTTTTTTAAATCGGATAATAATTGTGACATCTAGAGGGACCTCAAGCTAAAAACGCGATTTTTCGTACAATCAGGGGCCATAATTTACTATCTGAAATGGGTTATAAATTTACATTTCAAGTTTTATCAAAATCAAAAGAAAATTGCGATCTTGGGGAGATAAACCTATGTTTTTGAATGGTTAGGGGCGACGACTATTTTTATGTGGACATCTAAAAATTACTATGGCAAATACTCTAATTTAGATATTTTATGCAAAATCCATGTTGGGAACTAAAAACCATTTATCGTGAATCATTTTTAAACCATGTATTAAGCAAGAGCTAAATCTACCTATTGTAGATCTTTCTTTAGGCCTAAAAGTGTTATAAAAACTGTTATAGGTTAATATGTTCGCTCAGGGTTCATTTTACATTATCCGTTTTTGAAGTATGTTTGAAATCTTATATAATGCATCTTTAATTATTTAGACTACAATTACAATCAAGTAATTTACCTAATTATTTTGACTCTTTGAAGCGGAAGTATGGGATGATACTTTTTTATTACATGTACAATTGATTGAAAAATCGAACATGTTATGATTTTCTTGAACGGATAAAAGCATGGATCAATTTAATTTTATTTTGTCTCATGTTTATAACTGGTTTAAACATATTTTATTGGAAATAATTTACAAGGGGATAAGGACAATTTATAAAAATTATGAAGATTTTTCCGGGGAATAGTTTAATAATAGTTTAATAACATATTGACATAGTCTACAGTCTGAGCTTTCCAAAAATGTATCTTTTTTTTAAAATTGGGACAAGGAATAAGAATTTTATGATATTTTGAAGTATGCGAGTGTCTTAGGACATTTTCAGAAGAAATACCACTCAATAGTCCTTAGCAACCTTCAATTTAGATATCTAAACCCGTGATTTTTTGGTAGTATAAACCAAAGACAACAACCAAGGCGTAGTTCCAACTCCGATGGGACATTATTACTTTTTCTAAATGGATAAAATCAAATACCTATTACTTTTTCTAAATGGATAAAATCAAATACCAGACTTTTTGTCACAATTTAAAAAAAAATGGTCAAACAGGGAAAAGCAGTCTATTCCAAACATGTTTCTTTTATTTTTGATTTAAAAGCCAATAGAATAGCAACAAGGAGTTTTCCTTATGCTTAGTATAATCCATTTCTTAAATTAATGTGCCCATCATAATCTAACCATGTTGGGTGCCATGGTAACGGCGGCCAAAATGTTTTTGCTCGTAAGTTATTTCATGTACATTGGAAGTAACAAATCACCAGTAACAAATCGCTTAGTGACATCATGACGCTATATCATGATGCGACGTCATGACGTCAATCACAGATCAACTCTTAATAGTAAGTGCAGGAGGACCGCAAAAAGGATGATTCAAATTTACGTGTTTTACTGGATCACGGGTTCAAAATATTGTGTATTACGTCACATACCATGTGCCAAAGCGGGATCACGTTGTGCGTAAGGCTCATCGATGAACTAATTCGTTCGAATGTAGTCGTTTTTAATATATTTTCGTAAAGGAAAACTATCAAGAATTATCACTGATATAAACAGATAATAGTGTGTATTCGGGATTGTATAGAACGCGATCGATATTTTTAAAGGAGGAATAATAATAATGGAGGGTACTGGTACGGCCAGAATCAAACAACGTTAATTCCGATGTTTTTGGAACTAGCATATATTATATAGACTATAAACTGTTAATTATTGCCGAATCATAAAAGCGTTTTATAACTTTGAAAATTATCTATGTTGCGATACCTTGTTTTGAAATTTAATCCCCATAGACAAGGGCACTTTGAAAATACCGTGCCGTTGTTACCAGTAGTATAAGGATTTTGTTACTAACAGATTCTTTATAGTAGTGGGTAACTTTGCTGGATCGGGTGAATATATACACCTCCATGCAAATCACCAATAGCCCATTCCCAAAATCACGTGGCCTTTGGCTTCGGAGCTGTGTTAGGGTAAAGCTCTGTGACTGACGTCATGACGTGAGATCATGACGTGATTTCATGACGTCAATCCCAGTTCAACTCTTAAAAGACCCCACAGAGTAAAAATAACCAGAGTGGCGACTCGCATTACGGCCCATAGAAACACAACGACGCGCAATGTATCTTGGGAATTGTCTGTAATAAACAGACACTGACAGTTCGCTCAACGACGTTACGATATCTATATCGAAGAACTAAATCTCTTTAATTTCGTAGTTTTATAGTATTTTCGGTAACA